AAAAAAAAAGGGTGGGGTGGTGGTGGCTGGGGAGATAGCTCAGTAGATTAAGCACTTGCCTGGCAAGCACAAGGGCCTGAGTTCAATCAACGGTTCTGCAAATAAATAAATAAATAAGTGAAGCAAGAACTGTAAAAGGCTCAAGTCAACAACTCCTGGCATTACCAGTCCTATGGAAACCCCGCTACTATTATGGACTACTGGACTATATTGGAATATTTTGCTGAATTCACATACCTACAATATTTAAATAACAGTGGAATACCCTTCTCTGACAAAACTAAAGCAAAAAGGGGATACAAAAGAAGGACTATTTTGTATCTGTATATTCAAAATAGGATAGATACATAGCTAAAGAGTTGTACTAATAGTGTTTGTGGACAGGATATGTCTGCATCTTGTATTATAAATAATCACTGAGAAGACAATAGTATGCAATGCATTAGTTATTGAAATTGTCCTACTAATAGGTTTTGAAACTGTCTCATTGCTATTTGTTTCTCAGTAAAATTATTAAAAAATATAAATAAATGAAGCAAGCGAGGTGCAGTGTGGTGTGCCTGTAGTCCTAACACTTAGGAGACTGAGGAAGGAAGACTGTTTTAACAAGTTTAAGATCACACTGAACAACATAGCAACATCCCATCTCAAAAACCAAAAGCAAAAAACAAAAAAAGAAAAGGAAACATTTCTCTCTGTGCTTTCCATAGCAGAAACCACCTTTTAAAACTGATGTTTGTATCTCCTGGTTCCTTTTTGGAGGATGATGTATAATAAAGTGGTGCTTTTGTTCATGAACTTAATTCTTTTCATGATTCTGGTTGCAGCCAAATTGGAATGACTTCTGCAACCAGAGTCTTGGAAAGAATTATGTTTGTGAACTGAGGCCAGAAAGATAGCTCATGGTCTAAGTGCCTGCTTGGCAAGCACAAGGACCCAGGTTTGATCCCCGGTACTACATGCCATGCCAGCCCCACACCCATTTTAATTCATTATATTATGCTGTGGACTAGTTTCTGTATTTTTATAGATCAGTGAAATAGATGCCAGAGTTGCCTAGATATTCTTTCTATATATTAGAACTTTTAAATTTGTAAGTATTTAAAACTATATTGTTTTGCATTTTAGACTTCAATTATATTTTATGAAATTAAAAAGGCATAAATTTAAAAGCGTATTTTTTAAAAACCTGTTTTTTTATTCCTATAAGCTGTTTTGTTAAAGAGAAATCATTAAAATTGTGGCGCGCTATATATATATATATATATATATATATATATATATCCTATTTCTGCTTATTTTATCTGTAGCTCTACCAGCATTATCTGAAGTGATAGCAAAGGTATTCTGCAGAGATTATTATTGTTATTTATTTTTTGTCAGAACTGGAGATTGAATTTAGGCCCTTGTGCTTGCCAGCAAGTGCTTATTCTACTGAGCTATCTCCCCAGCCCCCTGCAGAGGTTATTTTAAAAAAACCAAACCACAAATAACGGTTTGAAGGGTGCTTCAGTAGTAGAGTACTTGCCTAACATGTGCAAAGCTCTGGGTTATATCCCCTACCTACAAAAAAATAGACATGATTAGATTTCCAGGGTTTTTGTGTTTTTTTTTTTTT